CCGGTGAAGACTTGTCAAGTACTCAACCACAGAGCTTGTGGTGATCACATGTTTGGTTTGAATCCAGTGTGCATGAAGTCTGAATTGCCAATATCAATGACTTTTGACAAAACAGGAAGTTTTGCAGGCCGCATATATGTCTAACATATAACAATCCTTTTTCCAGCTGGTGCGGGCATGCTTGGTGAGGAGGTGCTGAAAAAAATCCCCCTTCAGCGGATCGGTACCAAACGTGAAGTTGGCGATTGCGCTGTCTTTGCAGCCAGCCCTGCGGCCAGCTATATCTCGGGCAGCACTATCGTGATGGATGGTGGACACTGGATGACCTATGAAAACGACTTCGGCTTCTACACCAAACCGAAGGGCAAACTGTAGAATGGACTTTGACAACTGGTCATGGAATGGTCATCTTCCTGGTGTAAGAGGGGACATGGCATAAATGGCTATTTTGTAAACATTCTGTGGGCACGCAAATAAGATTTCAGTCATTATATGATTTTAAGTAAGAAGGAAGCTGTGAAACCCAAGCCATGTCATCGAACTTTGCAGGCAGTGTTGTAGACTCGAGTCACCTGACTTGAACATGAGGTGGACTCGAGTCGCTATTTTTATGACTCATGACTTGATTCGGAACTATCAGTTTTTGACTTGTGACTTGGACTTGCAAAAATGACTTGTGACTTAAGGGCCGATTTCACGAAACTCATCTTGCAACTTATCTTAGGGCTCAAGATGAGTTTCGACTCTAAGAAGGGTTTCAAGATCGATTTCACCAAACCCATCTTAAGAAGGATAGGTCAAAATTTGAAATTTGGTTGCTGTTTCATGTTTCGTTGTACCCTTTGATGAAAACAGTCGTTGGAAATATTGGGAGAGCCAAAATACGAACGTGCGGCAGAACAGTTGACTCATGTATGCTTCCAATCATTTTGACAGATCCATTGTAAAACGACGAATAGGTTTTCCGGTACCATTAGATTTTTTAATATTTAATTTTAATTAAAACTACCTTTTTTGTAAATGATAACACTTTTCAAGTCTGTTTTTGCAGCTAGTTTTCATCCCATAAAACTGTTACAAATTATAGCTCTAGGACAATACTCCTCTTTCACTTCGACAATAATTACTGCATGCATTAATGAGACAAGACGACCCTCAGACCAATCTTAAGTTAGGAAGAGTTCTTGAAGAAGTCAGGACTTGTTGAACGCGTCGTCAAGTTTGGTGAAATTGATCCTAAGATGAGTTGTAAGATTAGACAAGTTACCCTTGATAAGACACGTCTTAGCGTTTCATGAAATCGGCCCCTCTCAGCCCGTAGTAGGGGAATGAGATGCAGCGCAATCAGGAAATATGATGGACGGTTCACTTGGAAGTGAAACTCATAATTGTGTATCCTGTAACATTCAAAGACAATGAGAGAAACAAAGCCATGTAGTTTAATTAACCAACAAATTGTTTTAAATATTTCATATATATAATTCCTGAAGAAAAATTCAGAGTGCCTTTTGAGGAAATAAAATTAATTTTAAAACTTTTATAATGTGAGGCCCTCTGAAAATGCCAATCATATTTCAGAAAGAACTAACAAGTTTATTCATGTTCACATGTCAACTATGTTCTCATTTTTTGGCCTTTCAGTATCCCCAGACAAATTTGAGACCAGTGTGATTGTTCTACTAATGAGTAAATTTATAAATAAATCAGCAACGTCATTCGCACACAGCAGTGCAGCATGGCTGTACGCGTGCTTTGTGAAATTTCGAACCTTGTTGGACAAAGGCGATGCCGGTGTTACACATCAGGACGTTCAGCGACTGCATCCTCTGCTTGGTCTCCCGAATGAAGTCCTTGGTGGTCTGTAGCGAGGACAGGTCCGGCTTGATGTATTCAACTTTCAGCGCTTTGACCTCGGCTTCTTCGGCGCCAAGGAGTGCTGGCCAGACGCCTTCAAGGAAATAGTGGAAAGAGGCCTAGTGGGATTATTTCACACAGGAGGAGGAAAAGGTTTTGACCTTCTCCAAATTGTTCAGGGCCTCTTCCAACCTGCCCACCTTCACAAAACAATCTAACTTCCACTGGAAGTTATCGTAAAGTTGGTTCTTTATCCCGGTTGACTGAAATACATTCACATGAAGCTCACTAACAGAGGCCCTTTCTTTACTGGCCAAAGGCAATATCCCTTAACCTAAATGATGGTGAAAAGTTTTTACAAATTTACTGTAAAGTTGTTCAAAGTGTTCTCTGCTATTCTTTGGGTCACCTAAATGACACAGCTAATATCCATAAACTTTAAACATTCCACTCACGCGAATTAAAAAGAGTGTCACAGTTTTCAGCAAGCATGCCACGTACTCCACTTTCACATACCGGCGCACGACAACTCTTCAGCACTTCATGGTTGTGTTCCTAAATGGCCAACAATTTAAGAAATCCACAATACCAAAATGACACTGATAAAGCAACTTGACATCAGCTTTACATATAAAACCACAAAAACTATGTGCATAAACTTACAAGCTAATGAGTCAAGTCTGTTTCTGTAGGTTCACAATTACTTGCAAACTTCACTTTCTTTAACTGCATCACATCTGTTCCCCTCCCCCGATATACCGAACGTTTCATATTGCTCCACCAATATACAAATTATCAATGAGCAGTGGCCGTGTGAATAAAATGTCTCATGAAACCTGCTCTCTATGTATACAATTCATGTTTACACCTGGAGAATGCAGTATGGCTTTCCAGTGATCAAAACTTCATAATCCTTGTTGAGCCACAAAACTGGATCTATATAGCATTAAACCAGTTCCCTGACAAATTCCCCTTCTCGCATTTCCCCGATAACTTATATCTTACAGCAGGTGATACACACCCTGGCTCCCTTCTCTGCAACGGACTTGGCAGTTTCCTATCCAATCCCTGCATCAATGCAAACCAGCTTTTCGAGATTATCAAGAACAACACTATTTCAGACCAGGCTTCAACTAAATAAAAGGCAGATTTAGCCAAAGATTTGCAAATAAAGACAAGCAGGTGATAACAATCTTGCAAAATCCTCCAAAACTTCAAACTGGATTCCGCAGGATCCAGGAGGAAGTTAGGGATTAAAAGGGCAGGCAATTGGAACTATATTTAATTAAAAAGCAGTGTTAGTCACAGTGTCATTGAGCTGACAAACTGCCTATTGATGGAAAGAAAGGACAAGAAACAACGAAATTAAGCAAAGAAATGAAGCAAATTAGAAACAAATGGTAGGAGTACACATGGTCAGTTCAAGTGATCTATCAAACGAATTCAACACAAGATGGTTATCCCCTCCCCCTCCCTGTTTTTACCAGTGTTTCCGCCAGTCACCATCACCAGTTTCTCTGGGGGAAGCTCCACGTTAGGGTGCTCCAATTTATTCCCCATCTTCCACTCTCCAACGTGATTTAATTCTCTTTTATCAAACCTGGAGGGAAAAATGAAGAAACCTAACATTTTAAAACATTTTTAACGTTTTAAAAGACATTGTTACACAAGTAGCTACCCGTAGCTGACTTGCAACTGATCCTAGATATACCCAACCTAAAATGAGCTCGCTTTTTCAATAAAAACAAGTTTTTGGTCCACAAATTGGTCCTTTTTGAACAAATTAAATTCATGCAGAAATAAAGTCATTGACCCTATCGATTCTTATGATCATGAACCCACGGATATGGCAAAGAATCATTCATAAGCCTTCCATCATAAGTGTGTGTAGTTATGTACTCCAGGGATAGGGTCTGCTCCAGCCCAGGTGGACTCCCTCACCGTACTACGTTACGGAGAGAGTCCAGGGTATAAAGGGTGCAAAATCGGGCGAAAAAATTTTGTAACTAAAATTTGCAACATTTCTATGTTCTCCAATGAGCCAATTTAACGTCTGTAACTCCTATGCGTCCTTATCTCCACGGCTGGTGGGTTTAGAAATTCGACACATCGCCGCCAATGACAAAAACGATAGCGAAGTCTTTCTCTAATTTTACCACATATAATTCAGAATTGTTTAAGGTTTTTGATTTTTTATCGATTGGTCCGTGGTGAAATATTAGAGGACACTCGGTTCGACATACTGCCGCCATGCAGCACATCAACTTTGTGATTCTATATTGCATTATATTCCATCTTTAAACATGGCGGTTTCGTTGATGTGTCAATGGTCAAATGAAGGTCCAGAACTTGAAACTTCTTAACCAAACAAAACCGAACCAAACCAAACTAAAATATATATGCCACCGTCCGGCTTTTCTCTTCCCTTCCTCTGGGACTCCACAGTGCGTACAGAGTTTAAGAATATGGGTGTATGATCAAGAACTTGCCCACAGATCTTGCCAGACCTCCTGTTTTATCAATCAGAACCTCAAAGACCCTATTCAAATTGCGAAATTTGATTAACTATTTGGTGTTTCGAAGAATAAAATGTTGACTCATGTATTTCTTTGTACTGAGTTTCATTATACATGTAAATTCCAAACTCAAATTCATGGGAAATTACGCACAGATTAATGCTGATGTACACGGGTACTCGTACTGCACCCATACAAAGATAAGAATGATGCCATCTTTTGACTGAAACCTAAACTTGTTAAAGCCATTTCGTGACAATAGCTACATAAGTACATCTGATTTCAAGATATTTTATTGCTTTTATTTAGTGTTGAAACTCTTTCCCTTGTTCGTTTTCAGTATTCTGCTGCTAGCTGAATGCTTTGCTGAATATTCTGCCATGCCCGTCAAAAAAATCCAGGTGATGCCTTTGCATTGAGCCCTCATAAGAGAGGATGTACAAGCAATACGAGCGTTTCACAATAGTGCGCCTCCAAGAGTTTCCAACGCGTTGGCCAATCGCACTGCGCGAAATTTATCGACCCAATCTGCGTTTGGAAACAGTCGACAAATTTCGCGCGTTGTCATTGGCCAACGCGTTGCAAACTTTTGGAAACCCACTATTGCGAATCGCCCGTATGTGCAGGACTATTTTTAATGCAGACGTTTCACAACAGTGCGACTCCAAGAGTTTGCAACGCGTTGGCCAATCACAATGCGCGAAATCTGTCGACCAAATGCGCGTTTGGAAAAAGTTGACGAATTTCGCGCGTAGTGACTGGCCAACGCCTTGCAAACTCTAGAAGGTGCACTATTGTGCATTGCCTGTACGTTTCAAAATGTGTGAACGAATAAAAGAGGCACAGTTTTCTTGCTTAAAGAAGAACAATCTTATTTATGTGGAAACGGAGGTGGCGTACGTGTTTGCGTGACTGTAAATTTATCAGGTGATACAACTGCTGGCAACTGACATTCAGTGAGCTAACGATCCATAACCAAAGATCGTACCACTACCAGCGCCGCAAAGGGCCTTCGGCGCAATATCTTTGTCCATAACATCAGTGGAAGGGTTTTACGGAGCGAGATGTTTGGCTGCGCGATTCAACTTCAAGTGAACCTTGATCCTTTGACAATCACATTCGTGACAATGCAGTCTAGACAGTGTGATAAAGTGCATCAGTGTGTTTGTGGTACCAGTTCCACACGAGCTTACAAGCCAGAAATTATTCCCGTTAATTAGCCAGACCCATCCACACTGACAAGTTCTTGGTGAGTACATATGCATGTACGTGTGCGTTTCTAGAGACCACTCTCATTTTGCCTACAAATTATACGGGCAATCAAAGCGTGCAGAATATTTACCCTTTGTTGGTGTTCAATTTTACCTCCATTTCGTTCAAAATGTACCTATGTCCCTTCCATTTTTAGAGGGTTGTATTTAAGTATCTAGTGACAATTATGATCTGGTATTTAGATAGTTGCTTAGGATTTTTAACATGTTGTGAATTTTTGTGTTACTTTTGTACTGAGGCCAGCCATACAGCATGGAGGTATAAATTTCTACCTCCATGCACACTGGAAGTTTCAGCAGCCAAAGCACAGCTGTTATAAGTGAGCATGGTTTTCTGGAGCACACAACTACACACAGTGATGGAATGAAGGTTTATCATTCCCTGCCATTTCTGTGGGTTTGGGATCATATAGATTGATCGGGTCAATGATTTTATTTCTGCATGAACTGAATTCGTTCAAAAGGGACCAAAAAAACTTGTTTGAGTTGAGGGAGGGAGTTTATTTTAGGTTGGGAAGTCAACTTAGGATCGATTGCAAGTGATCTGCGGGTAGCAAATTGTGTAAAGATGTCTACACTTTTAAGATATTATGTGTCATCAACAGTGAAGTGTTTAACATTAAAAGGAGTTTTTTTAATCAATCATTCAGGTATTGATTTTATAATAGGCCCTGTCAAAAGGGGTAAATTTTGAAATAGGACAAAAAGTGTCATGGATTTGAAAAACCTGCCTAGAGGTCAATGTGAATCATTCAGCAGTCCCTTGATGAATTGGAGATGATTTTATTCAATGTTAATTTTTGGGGGGTTTGCTTTCCAGATCTGAGAAAGAAGAAATCACGCTGGAAATTTGAAAATGGGGAATAAATTGGAGCACCCTGATGTGGAGCTTCCCCCAGAGAAACTGGTGATGGTGACTGGCGGAAACACCGGTAAAAACAGCGGGGAGGGGGAGGGGATAACCATCTTGTATTGAATTCGTTTGATAGATCACTTGAACTGACCATGTGTACTCCCACCAATTGTTTCTAATCTGCTTCGATTCTTTGGTTAATTTAATTGTTTCTTTCCATCAACTGACAGCTCATTTCTCTTCACACTGTGACCAACACTGCTGTTTAGTTCAGTTCTTTGGCTGGTGTCTTTATCCCTACTTCTCTCCCAGAGCAGAGCCTGCAGAATCCTCTTTAGAGTTTTAGAAGATTTTGTAGGATTAATATCACCCGCCACGGGCTTGTCCGTACTTGCAAATGTTTGGCTATGCTCGTTTTTTGCGGGCTCAATTTGGGGTAAGTTTGAATTTACATTTGTGGAAGGCATTTTTGTAATTTTATGTGCTAAATTTTGTTCTTGATAATCTTGAGAAGTGGGTTTACATTGATACAGGGCTGGGATATGAAACTGCCAGGTCCATTGCAGAGAAAGGAGCCAGGGTGTGCATAGCCTGTCGCTCAGAGGACAAGGCTAAAGATGTAAGTTAAAGGGGTGATGTGAGGAGGGCATTTGTTAGGGGACTGATAATGCCCAGTTTTGTGACTCAACCTGCTTACCACGGTTTTCTGAAGTTTAGAGGAGCAGACAGAGTTAGCCTGGAGACCTCAGTCACACATGCACATTTAATAAGTTAAAAGTTCTTTGCTGGCATTAGAAATGCACTCATTACTATAGTTATTGTACAGTAGTCTTTTAGCTACAGGTTAAGTAGCTAGGGATAATTTGCTTAGTGGTTAGCGGATTCGTTTTGAGATCGAACCACCTTCAGTTAGCATCTTTCAAACAAAAACAATCATTGTGCTCCCCACACATATATTTAAGCCTTGCCCAATACATGCATGTGAATTGTGCGAATCTGATTTAGCGATTCTCCAAAGCCATGCTGCATTCTCCAGCAGCAGATTTCAAGAAACGTGGCGTAACCTTGACCCATGCATAAGCCTTGCACCACAAATTAATGCCTTAGCTGCACAATATATTTACGCTCATTTTCACCAAAAGTTGCGCCACATTTTGATAATATTGAATTTCTCGGGTAAGGGAAAAAACAGTTTTTACGACGGCTGTTCCTTTTCAGTATAAAAGCAGTCATCAAACACTGGTTGAATCTCCATTTTTAAAGTTTGTTTGTCTTTTTTCGTCGGAACTGAACAAAAAAGCTCGCAGCTTTCTCACAGCAAAACAAGTTTCTTATTACCTTCTACAACAAAGCAGTACGTTTCTCATACAAGCCTTGTTAAGTTCAACAATGATGAGGTTTAACCAAACATGATAAACTAGTCAAATCAGGCATTTTCACTTTGTTTGATGCAACTTGTGCCACTTGAATGGACTGAGTAAGTTACGGCATAATTTGTTGTGTAAGTCGTGGGCTCAAGTTCCATAGTGCATGAGTTTCGAAGAATCAGTCTTCATTTGTTGCACAACTTATAAGATAAAATGTGGCGCAAGTGGAATCACACCGTTGCGTAAAGTTTTGTGAAATTGGCTGCAGGTGTAAGCGTTAATTGTATACATGAGAGAGTATGTTTTGTGAGACATTTTGGTCACACAGTCACTGCGCATTGATAATTGGTATATTAGTGGAGCAATATGACACCTTTCATGTTTTAACCACTTCGCGCCCGTGGTATTTATCAATGTTGATGATGCTGAGATGGGATAATTATCATTTTTTTTCTGTTTTCAAAATTCTTTAAAAATTCAAATCTTCATTTACTTGACACTTACACCCACACGAAGGACTGTCTGACAGACAACATCTATAGAGGGATCCCAATATGACGCTTTTAGCGTCAATCTGCGCACTTCCGCATTTTAAAACGAGGCTGTATGTGTCAGCTTCAATTCTTAATACGATGAGACGATTAAAAGTAAAGAGTCAAGACACAAAATACATAAATTCAGACTTTTCAGGCTGCAAATTTTTGTGGAAGAGTCTTTCAGGATGACTTGACATGTAAAATCACACGAAAAATAACGGCAATTCACCGCAAACTAACGTACATGTGCCTGTGATGGTCGTGTATCTTGTGCAGTGGACGTGGTTTAAACTGAAGTGGAGTCACACATAGTACGAACTGGATACTCCATGTACTGTGTGGACTCTGTGGGCACGCGCGATGAAGTTCAACACAAAAAGCCTCGGTTTCAATGCAGATATTTGCGCAGACGACACTCATGTGAAATCCCTCTATCGACGCTGGCGTATTTCAGCCAGGCCTGCCCTCTTGTAAAAAGAGCCCAGATTTTGCAGTGTTACGTAATTTTCTTTAGTTCTCGAAACTAGCTCAGTTTGCTGCTGACCTCCTTTCAATAGGGGCCAGATTAGTGTGCAGTGGTACTGTGGGGCTCATCGCTGCAGCGGTGGAGTGCTTTTGTCCCGGTGGTAATCTGCTCACGCTGAATGCCCCAAACCGTGGTAAACTGTTTCAAAACAAGGCTGGATTATCTCCACTATTGAGAGGGAAAAAATGTTGGTAATTCCCGGCAGCCTTGTCTTTTGTTACGAGTACGTTTTTTGTTACAAGGCCCAGTTGCCTTTGTCCGATTTCGGAGACCCCGGCCACTCGTATAAAGACTACGTGTCCGAAACGGAAATGGCAAGTACTTAAGGGAGGGGAGCAGATGTGATGGTTACAGTTGGAGTTTGCAAGTATATGTAGTTATATAAACCTCTCAGAAACAAATCTGACTCAATTATCTTGTAAATGCACATACATGTACATTCAGATGTCAGGTTGCTCTGTCAACCACCACGTCACTTTGTTGATTCATTTGTTGCATTTTAGGCAATTGAGCGAATGCAAAAGGAACACAAGAATGAAGTGCTGAAGAGTCGAAGTGTTCGGGTATGTAAAAACTGAACTACATAGCTTGCGTTTTGCGGGAAATAGTCTTTTCATTTGTACGTTTGTACTTGAGGGACATAACCTGTGTCATTCAAGTGATCCAAAGAATAGCAGAGAACAACTGAAAAAAATTTTAACTAAAGGAAATTTTTTTCACTATTGTTTGGTTTAGCAATAAAGGTTAATTTGCTTATGGCCAATAAAGTTGAAAACCTCTGGTTTCCAGCCAATGTGGCCAATCGACCTGGTGCTATCTCCAGTTTTAAGGGGCCAAAATGACTGAGAGCATCTGTGATCTCCCCACCCCTGGGCGGGACACTAGACCACAGCAAGTGTCTCCTCGTTCACTAGCTGTCGTTGGCGCTCATTTACATTTCAGCACTTTTCCTACCTCCCTGATTCCAAGGTGGAGAGAGGCCAGAAAGGAAGAA